GAACTGAACCTCTCAACAGCAGAGCTCCTATCAGTGAGTGAAATTCCAGTATTTTATTAGTCTGTTAGCACTTATCATCCAAACCATTTATGGATGCATCCACTACTTAAACTTTCAAGCATAACTGATAAACTTGTACTCCACTCTTTTTGCCCAAATTCCTTTGTAGCTCAACAAAAACAACATGGAGGCTAAAGCTGAGCTTTCAGACCGATGGGACTGACAGTCCAGAAACCACCAGGTTAAGTTATGGTGATTACTTTTACATGCAGCCAGTCACGCTGTACTGTAGCTGGAAGGTTGTTACCTCGAAAGCTGAAAGGCAATACAACGATTAGAGGGGACGTGTGAATCGTCTGTGGGTTCATCGTGACTAGTGATGCTGTACTTGAAGCAAAGACACTGATTATAGTAGCTCATCGCAACCACAAAAGACAACACTAACTGTCTCCCCACCATGTCTGTTGGGATACAGGGGAGGCATTTGGAGTTCTCGATCTCATACAGGCAGTATTTCAGGTTGCCACAGTCCTCGTCCACCATGCATTCCTGTGGGATGAGAAAAATGAATTACAAATATATGAAGTGATGAAGAACCTAACAGAAGTATTTATATAGTTTTAGATAAGAAATACATGCATCTTGAAAATAATCTCATCTCACAATGGACATCATTATCAAGAAGCACTCAGCCAAACAGAATTTAGTGTAGCTGAGTGCTATTTGCCTGTATCACAATAACAGTCGTACGTTATTCCACTGCACCCCCACATAATGACTTCCCGGTATCTGCTGGGTCCATCTCCATGGAAACTGCATTAAGGACAACATCAGTGGCATCTGAATGCAACAGAAGGGCTGGGTCTCTAGAGTATCCCCTCCTTCTGTCCTCTACACTTGATTTGCACTCCAGCATGTTGAAGGTAAAGACATTATCTTCAAATATGTGCCCTTTCCAGGATGACTCACAGAAAGAAACGGTGCTTAAAATAAAACAATTTTCTTTAATGCCTGAAACAATCTGGGCTTTTAAGACCAAGCTGGAAATGTTATAAACTTGTTGTTAAATGATGCTAACTGTGAGTTTGTTGCAGGAACACCGTGTACACCATGCAACAAAGTGACAAATATTGTGCATGCTGAAAAATGCCCTTTTAAGGGTGGATTTTCCAGCACAGGAAGTCAGCAAGTCTTTATGCTAATGAGATATTTGAGATTTAGTTTGACTTGTTTCCAGCGGTGACAGGAAACAGTGCATGCCAAAAACAATCCCAACCACATGGGTGGATTTCTCTGATTTATCTTTGAAAGTGTGGCCTGTGAAAGTTTAACACAGGAACCAAACAAAGAACATCTTTAAACCAGACCTTCTTTCCCACTGTAAATTTAGATTTCAGTTTTCTTGCCCGAAAGCGTTATTACTGTCTGCGTTTCTACCTCATCGATACAGGAAAACAGGTCAAATGAAGCTAAAAGGTTAGATATTAGTCACACATTACAGAGTCCTGGTTTTATTTGTGAGAAATGGATGACTTTTAAAGTTCCCCTATCATCCTTTTTTGGGGGGTTTCTTCTTTATATTTTTCTGAGGAAATGTAACAAAGTTGCAAAGCTTGGAAATCACCTGTTATTTTTTGCAGGTCGGGGAGTCAAGTTCAGCAGATTTCAGATGCCAGCTCTCATCAGCTGGCGGCTTAGCAGATTCTGTTCTGCTCATACTATTAGCAAGTCTTATAGGAGCGTGCTATTTTGCTGCAAGCTGCTTTGTCACCCACCACTACCCCATATTGTTCAGCCTGTTTGCGCTATTTTTCACTCGAACCATGTCGGTTGTCTGCTTTGTTTTGTGGGCAATCCTTGCTTGCCTGCAGTGTTGACCTTTCTCTCCCTCCATTTGTGTACATTTGTGTTTCCCAGAGCCATGGCTACACAACTGTTATCACTGGTTCCCTGGATTGTGCACTTGTCCCATCCGCCATGGCGCCAGCTCTTCCGCCTACACTCTGCAGATTGTTTATAATATAATTCAGACTCTTTAGTGTTAATTTTTCCAAGTGTTTTCCAGTTAACACCTTAGAATTGTGCTGTGCTCCAGATTTCCTCCTTGCGTGCCAGGAATTCCACACAGTATTTTACTGTTTTGCTCTCTAGTCTGCTTGTTTGTTTTCACCACTCTCCTACAATGTCTCGCCTCTCTGGCTTTGCCTCTGAAAATTCCACTGCACATTATGAATTGGTGAATAAACCTTGTCAACTGCTTTTCTTGTGTCCCGTCCTCCTTCGGTTAAATCATAACAGTAGGAGGATCTTGCTGCTGTCCCCCCTCCTCTTAGGCTTTCTACGTATGATTTTCAAATGGCGGGGAGGTCCAAGAAATGCCACCAACTATAAATGTCTAAAAATGGAGAAACAATCCTAGGTTTGTCTGAAGTGCTCCTGGCAGAAGCTCAGTTATTCTCTCACACAGCTTAATATAATTTGTCTTCTCATTACTTATCTATCTTACAAGTTGACACAAAGGCACGGTTTCTGCCTAGTAGCTCTTTCAGCACACTCACAAGCAAAGAGTGAACAAAGAGTGAGCGCATGCCTTGCAGTTTTATTGGCAACTGACATTTTCTAAGAATGCTGCACTGCTACTTAACGAGTTAGGTAGAGAACTCATGCCAACGCAGTGTCTTAGCTGGGCTAGGTAGCCCATCAGAAAATTCAGCAGCTAAAAGGGAGGTATGCAGAATCCGGGTAAAAAGAGCACAGACCACTAAAATAAAGTTATGAAACCACAAAGGAGCAAAATACGTGACATTTAACGCAACAGCTTAAATGTAGTAGCCACAGTTGTCTGCAACACTTTGTAGCAACAAGAGTGCTGTAGGAAATTATCCAGACCCTCTATTCACTTAAATCACATTACTCACAGACTGCCTCCGCTCATCCAAAAAGCATCCACATTTTAACCAAATGTTTCCACATTTTAGCTTACATGTGCTTTTTTTCAACTCCCCATGCGCTGACTAAATTTTTTTTTCTGAAGCCGCAACAGTGCCATGTGATTAACTGACTCTACTCTACTGTGACTTAACAAATAAGGTTAAAGACACATGGCGTTAGTTGTTTAATTTGTTTGTTTGTTTTAGTTTTTTGTTTTTTTTTTACAAAAGTACAGCCTTTTGGCTTACAATCTTTCTTGCTTCCTTGGCATTTTTTCCTCTATTAACATAACCACCATCTGTACAGCTGCCAGGAAAGAAAAAGATCAAAACCGCCACCGTAAAGTAAAGAGCAGGCAGCAAGCAGCAGCAGCAACCTCAATCCAATCCTCCTCTTGGTGAAAACTATGAAAAGTATATGGTAGGTTTCTTTGCTGGATGAGATCATTCTTTTTTTTTGAAAAAACGTATTAGCGGTAATACAATGGTCCCATGGTTTCAAAAACCTCTCCTTCTCTCTGTCTCATCTTACAAATGTGGAATATTTCCCAAACTGAAGGAAAATGCATCTGAAATTAAGCATCTCTGTACTGAGTAAAGTTAAACATTTTTTGCCTTCCAAATCACTCCGGGTACTTTACTGTTCACTTATATTGCCATATTTAGAATACTGTGTGGAAATCTGGGGAAATACATACAAAACTTCACTTCAACCACTATGTAAAACTCAGAAAAAAGCAATCAGGATGATTACTAAAGCAGGATTTAGAGACCATAAAAATTCTGAAGTTTATGGATCTTATAAAATATAAAACTGCAAAAATTATGTACAAAGCCAGATACAATATGTTACCAGGAAATGTACAGAGGATGTTTTTTGACAAAGAAGGGGACTATGAATTTAGGGGAAAATTAAATCTGAAGACTCTTAAAGCACGGACAAAGGTTAAAACCTTTTGTGTTACTATTTATGGGGACCTACAGCAATGTTCAAGCATTAGTCAGTTTATAAAGATATTTCGAAAACTGATTTTGGAAGAATATGAAACTGATAAAGTTAACCCATTGTATATATAACTATGCTAAATTGTATCTAAATTATATCTATCACTGTAGCTATGTTTATACATGTTCTCCTTGTTTATTGTGTGGGGTAAGTGATGATGGGAATTAGGTGAATAGTGGGATTCAATAGAATGTTGAGCATTGGGTAGGGATTAATAAGTATGTTATACTTCTTCCTACTCCATTTCAGACCTAATAATTGTCATTTCATGTCATTTAGACTCTGTTTTATTTTATTTATTTTATTTTTTTGTTTTATCTGAGCACATACGTGTGTGTATTTACATATATATTCATATTTGTAAATGCAAGTATGTGTACTTGTGTATATATTGTTTTTTTTCTGTATATGTCTGAAATAAATAAAGATACAATACAATACAATACAATACTCTAAAAGCTGATAAATATTTAAAATAATACTGACAGATTCTCATTGGAATGTAATAAAAAAGAGGCTTGAGCTTTTATCTGTTTCCAAAAGGCAGCCTGTAAAGAGGTCTGAAACTAAGTGAGTTGAATTTTGTGTTTCTCCAAAATATTTCCAGAATCCCAACTTGATACAAGCCAAAATGTTAAACTATTAATCTCAGTACAAAATACTGACTCACATAAAAATAGCAGCTTCATGGCAGCATCGGGAAAATGTGGACACAGGAGAAAAAGACAAAACCTTGTTTAAGGTCTGGATCAAGGACAAGAGGTAAAAGACTCACATGATTCATGTTGTTCCACTGGCTGGAGATCTCCATATGAACATGGGACAAATGAGTCTCTCCAGTGTTGTTGTTAGTGTCCTATAAAAACAGTAAGGGGGTGAAATACTGTATCAGACCTGGGGAAGAAAAACAACTTTTCTTTTCTTACCAATTAATCCTAAACCCACTCAGACACTGTAGACTATGACGTGAATGGCTTGTGTGTGAAAGTTACACAGTATTGAGTGAATCCCTACCTTGTCAGTTCTGTCTAGCACCTTAACTGCTTTGTCTCCGTTCTTTATCACCATCGTAGTCTCGTTGTGGTAGTTAGGACCCAGCTCCAGTGAGCCTGAAGAGGATTTTGCACTCTCTGTAGTGATCTGTTGGAAGGAAAATTAGGTTAAATCTTAAATAAAGAGCAGCATATGTTATACTGTACATCTGTTGTTCATATTTGGGAAAATATGGATTCTTAAGGGGGCTGTAAGAATGGATAGTTTGCATTCTCTGCTTGATGCAAAAGGGAAACCTCGCAGTAGCCCAGAAATGATGAAAACCAGACGCTCACTGACAGGAAATGTATCGGACCTGCTGAAATTCAATTCTTGGGAAGGAAAATAACAAACACGAGGTACTGAAGGCTGTCTAGAAAAAGCTGTTTGTATGAAGTTCTTGCAGGAGCTCTTCCGTATTGCCTTTTCTTTTATTGAACTGAGTGTCTGGCCGGGAAATCTCTATTTTAAGCAAATAGCTACTATAATGATGAGTGACGGTGGTACTCAGCACGGCGTGGGTCAGATTTAAAGCAGACACGGAAACTATGTGTCTGCTAAAAGTAACTGTGCATTAAAATAATTTGAAGCACTTTTTTATCCCCCTGCTTTCTAATAAAACTGTCGCGTATTTACTTTAATATGGACACATTGGATTTCTCTGCCAGTCAGCATTGGCTTTATATGAATGGATAAAATATGACGCCAACCTGGTCCACTGCCTCCTCCAGTATGTGCTGAGTGTCCTCCATCAACTCCTCTACCTCTCGGAACATGTCGGTCAAGCTGACCGGCCCCCGCTCCAGGCTCTCCCGCAGGAACAAGGTCCCGCTCCTCGCCGTGCCGACGGCTGCCCACAGAAAGCACAAACCCCGGAACACCGACAGCACCGACATCTTTCCTTCTCTTCCACCTAGTCTGTCTAAAGAGCAGCACACGGGTGTGACGCACGCAGGGCACACAGCTGGACACAGCTGGATCCGTTTTATTTGGAAAGTATGAGGAGCGCAGCAGCAGCGGTGGTGAGGGGGAGGCGGAGGAGGGGGGGGTGGGGTGGGGGGTATTAGCAGGATCAGGTTTAATGGGGTGGAAAAAGTTCACGCTGCATTTCATGATTTAAACGTCAAACACATGCGAGTGGCCTTTATAAAGACATAAATGTGAAGCGGACTGTAAAACAAACAGACGAAAAGGCTGACAGACGAATGCCAGATGTGATCTGCAGAGGCAAGTTCCCACGTAGGCCTGCGCTTAATCACCGGTCACTTCAGTGGAGCTGACAGCAAGAAATACACATCATGTCAGACAGCTTTAGTGAAGGTCTGCCCGATCTTTTGAAAATCTAGACAAAGTTTGGACTCTTTTGCACAACCCTACAGAAAAAAGATTTTATTTTAGTTATATTTATGTGATGAAGAGCAACTCGATGTTTCATTACTGATACTGTGTAGCATGGATACTTAGTCTCCTGAGTTTATGAGGTTTAATTTGAGGTTTTTCGTTCATTTCTGAATGTTGGTTCTGGTTTTATCTTATTACCCTGATGATGAGTTGATGACATTAACCCAGAATTATAATTCTGGGTTAATGTCTTTATTATTATTATTATTATTATTATTATTATTATTATTAGTAGTAGTAGTAGTAGTAGTAGTAGTAGTAATAGTATTAATAATATAAGAGTAGTAGTAGTAGAGGTCGGCTCTCCAGTGCCCTCCCTCCGTCTGGTTTTAGTCCCTTTGTGTTCTTTTGTCTGTAACTTTTTATGTCTTTTATTATGTTTTGGTTATTTCCTGTTTTATGTTGAAGGTTAGTTTTACTTCCGGTCTCTTTCTTCCAATGGCTGTATCCCAATTCAGGGTCTGCAGCCTTAAAGTACGCAGCCTCAA